TATATTTTTGTAAAACACCCCATATATTAATTAAGCCAAAGAAAAGTTTTTACAATCATTCGTTACAACATACACCACGCAGGGCGGAACAGAATTAAAAAGAATCCCATCAGACCTAGTACAAAAGTTAAACTTAGCAATCTCATGTGCCACCCCATTGGCAGTCCGATTTATCCTTGCAATATTAAAATTTTAGATCATCCTAGATATACTCAGAGCCTCATCTATCAGATCAGCCAGAGGGGACCTGTCAAGCTTCTCATTTACAAGAAAGGAATGTACGAAAGCACAATCAGTCTCTAAAATAATAGATTGATGAAGGGTGATACCTATATAAAGTCCTGCGAGGCATATTAATCGTCTAAACTGAGTGAATCCTCCACTCCCCGGTTGTTATCGACAAGATCAGGTTGGCTCCGGTATGGGAGCAACGACAGTGCCGCGTCGGCTATTTGTTCTGGCAACGGCAATGGTTGTTTTGTGGTCCATAGACCTCGATGTAATTTTTATGATGGTTGAGGTACTTTTTACTTTTGGTGAATCTTTATACTAGATCCGCTCTTTTTGCAAAAAAAAAAAAGAATTTTGCAATTAAACAATTGATATTAATCGGATAAAAAGGCACATTGTATGGTTAAACTTACGAAGGTAAGATCTTAATTGATTAATTTTCCCAAATGATAAGTGCCACACATGTGGCACGAAACAATTCGGACATGATGTATTTTACAACTAAACTTGCCATCAAAAAGAAAAGAAACAAACAAAAAAACTGAAACTTGCCGCCCAAACAGAAAGTTGTCATGCTTGACAATTAAAGTTGCCATCCTTGTGTCACTAAACTTGTATATCATAAAAAAGGTTCGGAGTTGCCATATGTTCATGCCACATGTGTGGCACTTATCAGGGTCCTTAATTTTTCATCTATAATATTATACCGCTAACATAAAATGGAAATACATCATACTTATGAGAATCAATATCTACAAGACTAGATAAATACAATGTCAACATATATTTCATGATGGATCTTATGTGAGTAATTCGGTTTCATAGATGTTAGTGTATATTATTTTTATAAACTTGGACAAACTTATACAAATTGACTTGGAACAAGTTTTACTTAGTAAAATTTTGAAATGAAAATTAATTCGAAATAGAGGGAGTGTGTTGTAACTGCAATTTACTTTTGTTGGCATTAATTATTTTCCTTCTTTGTTGATATCCATTAGTACACTTTAATTTACTTCCTCATTTGGATGAGGAGGCAAGTCTTAACGTTGAAGTACTGCCTTCTATAGTCTTACCTACCCAGAGGTAATTTTAGGCACGTATTAAGAACTTTCCAAACATGAAAGATGATTAATTACTATAGTAAAAAAATGATATTAATCGAAATAAAAAGGCACATTGTATGGTCAAACTCACAAAGGTAAAATCTTAATTGATTAATTTTCCCAAATGATAAGTGCCACACGCGTGGCATGCAGCAATCTGGACCTGATGTTTTTTACAACTAAAATTGCCATCCAAGAAGAGAAAACAAACAAACAAAAATGAAACTTGCTATCCAAACAGAAAGTTGCTTTGACGCGTGTCACTAAACTTGCCATCAAAAGCATTCGGAGTTGCCATGTGTTCGTGCCACACGTGTAGCACTTATCAAGGTCCTAAAATTTTCATCTATAATATTGTACAGCTAGCATAAAATGGAAATACATCATACTTATGGGAATCAATATGCACAAGACTAGATAAATACAGTGTGAACATATATTTCATGATGGATCTTATGTGAGTAATTTGGTTTCATAGAAGTTGGTGTATATTATTTTTATAAACTTGGACAAACTTATACAAAATTGACTTGGAACAAGTTTTACTTAGTAAAAATTTGAAAAGACAATTAATTTGAAATAGAGGGAGTGTGTTGTAACTGCAATTTACATTTGTTGGCATTAATTATTTTCCTTCTTTGTTGTTATCCATTAGTACTCTTTAATTTACTTCCTCATTTGGATGAGGGGGCAAGTCTTAACGTTGAAGTACTGCCTTCTATAGTCTTACCTACCCAAAGGTAATTTTAGGCACGTATTGAAAACTTTCCAAACATGAAAGACGATTAATTACTAGTAGTCTATCTATATAAAGCTGAGCGTCCAATAGATGCTGGCACTCACTTGTGTAGCGCACCACCGTATAGTCTGATGGCGATTGTCTCGCCGTCTGCCGATCTTGTAGCGCTACTCGCCTTCATCATCTGCCTCATCCATCGTTGCGGCGCAGGAGGCTAGGACGCCGAGCTCTACCACCCGGTAATCTTGGTCCCTGGTTTCACTTGCCCCAACGTGGAGGCGCGGCTGACCGACGCCTATGTGCCGTCGGTGCCCCGCTGCGGCGAGCTCAAGGGGAAGGGGTGGTTCCCGCTGTGGAAAAACACCACAGACCTGGTCCGGCAGGACTACGTGCCGTGCTTCGAGGAGCAGATGCGCCTCATCTATGATCCCACCCTCAACGACTACCGGAACTTGCCCGGCGTCGAGACGCGCATGCCGGACTTCGGCTCCGCCCACGGGTTCACCTCCAAGAACGATTCGTAAGTATACATTATGTCCAAGTACTCCGTCCATTGGAACTGTATATATACTGATCTACACTACAGGAAGTGCATACGTATATGCTGATATGCACGGCTTTTTTGGGAAACTCTGTAGTATGCCAGACTTTTTTTCCTCTACTGTTTTTTAGGGATTTTCCTCTCCTGTTATACAGGTCTAGATCTGGAAACTGATGATCTTTACGTTGCACTCGTGGTGTTCAGGAGCCGTATCCCAACTTGTCTAGCAAGGGTCCGCGAAGAGCTTGAGTTGCTTGGGTATCGTGATGGTGATACCTTTTTTGGAGCTCCCTACGACCCACGGCACGCTCCACCGCTGCCGGGCCAGCCATCTCAGGTGTACTCCGACTATTTTGCTTGTGCGAGCGAGAAGAATCAAAACAAGCCGGTCATCCTCGTTGCGCACAGCTTTGGTGGCAAGGTCATCCTCGGGTTCGTCAACTCGACTCCCGTGGCATGGAGGAAGAAATTCATCAAGCACCTGGTCCTCGTATCGCCCACACCTCCAGAAGGTTTCCTGGGGGTGCTTGTGAGCCTCACCTCGGGACCGTCTTTCCTTGTCCCATCGGTTCCGCCGCTGCTTCTACGGCAAATGTGGAGAACCTTAGCGAGCACCCTTTTATCCCTCCCATCTCCCATGGCATTTGGTCACAGGCCAATTGTGATCACCAACCACAAGAACTACTCAGCATATGACTACAAGGACTTCCTCACGGCACTCGGTTTGAACACCGAGGTCGTGAAACGAGTGCTTTCTATGAAGCTGGGAATTGACCAACCGATGGTGCCGACTACATACCTCAATGGCATCGGCGTCAAAACGCCAGAGCAGGTGGTGTACCGGGATGGTAACTTCGACATGGCTCCCGAGAAGGTATACGGCGATGGAGACGGGACCATGAATTTGTTTAGCGTGCTTGCATTTGTGAAGGAGCTGAGTAGGCAACAAGAAGCTAACATACCCTTCAAGTTCGTGGAGATTGCTAATGCTACACACTTCGATATTGTTGTTCAGGAGCATTCGCTCAAGAAGGTCATGGATGTAATTCTAGAAGCAAATCGCTGAAAAGTCTTCATATGTTATTGTGTGTTTTCCTTCATATTAAGGACGTTGAAATCTGATCATGTAATTGGGCATTGTTTTTGAAGGGGGGTCATTTCAGCCTCTGCATCAATTGATGTAATTGGACATTGTTGTGGAATATGATTTTCATTTTTGGGAAGATACTGATGTGGAAAATTAATACTGCTGAAGCTGCTGTTCACAGCGATGCCATACACATCAGGTCACAACATCTGAATAGTCAAGCGTGTACCATTGGACATACATGCATACATGTTAGCTATATTGCTCAACATAACCGATGAAATACTAGAAGAAATATTGATACGCCATAAAATGAAATAAATAAATTGGTGCCACCTCGTACTCAAGTAGAGTCAATTCCGCCGTCTAGATAATACTGGAAGAGCACAGCATGCATGACCATTTATCTAGAGGAGCGGTTCGTAGTCACCTTTACAACAGCTGCTGGTCATGTGATACCAGATGCTTGTACTTCTGATCCACGTTCGCCACTCTTGCTGCCTCTGTCAAACCCTTGCTGACCACCAACTTCAGGATGTCAGCACCCTCTTTTATGGCTGAATCAATCTAGGTTCAGAGCAAAAGATGCACACACACAAAAATAAACATAAGTGCCGGTTGTCGTCCGCAATTTAAAACAGTTTTTTGTTTATTATCTTTCTACTATGTGGAAGGAACACTTGCGTGGTCCTTCGGATATCTTCAGGTTGTGGAATACACCTCAGTCTGTAAGATTGTTTTCAGTTTGACACACCATATCTCGATGCATATCTAGTTTATCCATAACAAAATCATATAATGAAGTTGTTTTGTCGCAGAAAATACTCCCTCGTCATACTATCTAATGGAGCCTAGATTATTTTTGTTTTGCAGGGACCATGCAGAAATATGCTAAAAATTAACTTAAATAGATTAAAGTCAATAGAACACAGAGCTTGCTTATATAGCCAAGGGTGTTGGACTCCTTGGTAACACTTATCCTAGTTAATGAACACAATCATCCAACAATAGAACAAAAGAAGGTGTTTCTAAATTAATTCATTAAGAACTACACGAGAATTAAAATTGGATAATAAGAATAAAGCATAACATTAAACTAGAACACAAGGATTATAGCAATGGAGATTTTATACCCGTTCACGACCAGTCTTGTTGAACTTCTGAAGCACAAAAGCTTTGGGATCCATCTGACCAGGCGGACGTCCAATCCCTACATAAGACAAATGTTAAATTTTGGTACAGAAAAGGAAAAGGAAACCTGAATCCTGCAGTTGTCAAACCTACCAACCCTTAATCGGCCAAATTCTCGGTTCTTGCGAAAATGGTATATCACACTCTTCAACCTGATAAACTAACAAGGTAATTGTTTCCTGTCAAGATCAAATGAACACCTTGTCTACAGAAATCAGATAGATTTGAGAGACTAATGGTCTGCTCACACACATAAAATAATTTAAAGATAGAACATTCTATTCTATCATACTGATTAAAGAGTGTGCTCATGTTCAGAAGATTTTGTTTTTCAGTAACTGACTAGACATCACAGGCTATGTGAAATGGCAAGTAAAACAAGTAAGGATCATGTTGAGATGTAAGAAAAAAGGTGCATGCAGGGATACAACAACAAACAAGAAATGTAGTTGCTGGAGTAATGAGCTACAGAACGGAAGAAAAGCTGCCATATGCTTTATCGAAGGTAAGCACCATATTGTTTACCAGCTCAACGAGACAGGTACCCCCTAAGGGCACACAGGCAGGATAGGTCCAAGTACGAATATCACAATCTTGATAACTTAACCTGATGAATTCCAGAGCTACTGCTTTTCTATTTATGTATTTAAACACAACACAGAAATACAAGGTTTTCCCTTTGGAAACTTTTGACACACAAATAGTGAAATAGAACTCTTTCACAAAGCACGTAAATGTAAGGTTTACTGACCCATTGTGACGTCCATATCCGCCTTTAGGTTGTAAACGAAGAACTCCACATGGCAGGTCTGTGTCATCATATGCCTGAAACTCATACAGCAAATAACCCAGTTAGCCAATCTAAGGTGTCACCAAGGAAGATTGGATCATAAACACGTACCACTACGACACGGTGGAGTGGAAGCTTATAATAGGCAGCAAGTGCACCAGCCTGTAATAAGAAAGAAAGGTAGGGGTGTCAGGATCACAAGCATTTAACAAGTCATCACAGTTCACTGTCAGGCCAGTTACAATGAATTGCGTGCATGGGAAGGAAAATGTATACAAGGTAGAAATCATAAAGAAAAATCTTTCAAAAGTGTTCCTTACAGATTCACCGCTGAGATTTATATATGTTTGAGGCTTGGCAAGCAAAACAGGGATGCCATCAACCATCCCTGCATCAATAGAAATGAAAGCACCTTCAGTTCAATTCAACACTTTGTACTTGAAAATAGAGCATCAGTTACCCTAAAAGTAAAGAGGAACGTTATTTCTGGGAGCATATGGATGGAGTGAAACCTTCACCAAATAGTGCTTTGAAGTGATTTTTGGTCAGGGATATGTTCTGAGACTCTGCAAATGCATCTATCATATCAAACCCAACCTGCAAGGTGAAACAACATAAATTAATTATGACAATAAAGTTGAGCCACCTGAATTTCAAACAGAAGATGAGAAGCAGAACTTACGTTGTGTCTGGTGGATTGGTACTTCTCACCAGGGTTACCTAGGCCAATAAAGAGCCATGGTTGGGTTGCCGAGCATGATGGTGATGATGAGGAAGAGACATACCGCTTAGAAAGAAAGGGAGCAAGTCTGACCCAAAGCTTTCCCCGCATCATTTACAGGATCATAGGAATGAAAACAGCCACAAGTGCAAAGCCTGATGGCAAAATCTGCAAACGAAACCAATTTGTTCTTTGAGTGCTCACTAGACATGCTGCAACAAACAAGAGGCCGAAACATAACCCGACACAAGCCCTGCACATCACATACTAGCATCAAGTTAATGCTAGGTACATCCATTTGAGAGACAAGCTTGGGACAAGCTTTTTCGGACGGAGGGAGTACTATCTTATTATACATCACTAAATGACCTCCACTATTGATGTAACAGCATATCGAAATAAGCAGCTAACAGAAACTGAATATGGCGCATACTTTGGCACTGAAGCGATGCACACTGGCCACAGTAGAACCGAAGCGCTGAAGTGCTTCACTAAGCGAGTAAATGCAAGTATCCGAGGCAGAAACAGCTCGAACAGTCATGGAAGGAAGCACATTTGTAATCATCGCGTCTACTAGCTTAAGCATTTCATCAAACAGATGCCAGTCACATGACTGCAACACTAACACGCACCAGCCTCATCCTAATGCCCGCGTTGCAAAACTATCCTGAACTCCAGATCATGGATTTGATCGGACCTTCGGCTTTGATTAGCCACCAGGAAATGCTAATCTCCCAAATGCAAGCCGCCGTTACAGTTGACGATTCAAGTGCAAAGCGAGGAGGGGAAACCAGAGAACGCTTACAGGTCGGCTGCAGAGGGCGCGACCCCGAAGCCCCGCGACGGCGACGGCACGGACAATCAGCGAACTTCTCCCCCACCGCGCAGCAAGGCCCAGCGGCGGCGGACGCGCGCGGGGTTCGGAACCGGAGCTGCTTGGCGAGGACGGCAACGGCGCCGAAAATAAGCTCGGCGCTGAAGCCCGCCACGCAGGGAAGGGTGGGCGCTCCACTGATGCACCTAGTCCCCTCGGCACGCTGTGGGTTGGGAGCGGCCGCCGGCTCCAGCGCCGTCGCGTCGCCTTTCTTCTCCGTCCGGGAGGGTTTGAGAGTAACTCATGGGTCATGGCCCATTCTGTGTGGGCTTTTGGTTCATTCATCCGTTTGCTTCATTTTGCTTTAAAAAAACGTCCGTTTGCTTCAAAAGAATGAAGGAAAAAAAAAGTGAAAAAAAAACTTTGAACTCACTTTCAAAGGGAAAACAAAGGATTTTGACATTCCACTTGGACCTCTTTTCAGATTTCCTACGCACAAACTATCTAATTATACCGCTTCATGTGGTTGGAATTCAACTTACTATGTGTAGTAGTAAAAAAATGTCTTCTCCAATTCTTGGGAACCAAACACGTCAGTTTTGAAAATTGATGTGTTTTTATACCCTCTGTTTTTCACCTACATGCTTATCATATTGCCGCATTTTTCCTACTCTAAGGTGTCAAAATGCTGCAGACCAAATAGACCCTATCACTTAGTAGATGTCACTTGGTATTTGAACTATATATTTGTTTTACAGCAAAAAGTCATGACTGCTATTAAAAAATGTTTGCTAAAAAGGGTATGTACATTTTTCCGACATGTATACACCAAGGAAATATACATTGCATTTGTAGAGTCAATTCTTGTAAGGTTCAAGAAATTTAGGGTATGCATCCTCTTTATTCAAGTTGTTCAACACCAAGACAGATATATCAGGATAACGTGAAAAGTATACCCCCATTTGGAATGTGAAAACTCAAAAAGGTGCTAATATAAAAGCAACAGCAACTGAATTTCACGTATCTTAAAAATCAATCAATATCTTAATGAAGAAAAACCATATGAAACCTTCGAAAATGGTGTTTGGATGTCATATAGGAAAAATACACGAAATTGTATACACATATATTAGAGAATTTAATTTCCTCCATCCGTATGAAATTCAATGGATTCTAGGATAGCTATTCCTTTTTGCTAATCAGCACAAGAAGGCATTTTTATTGGAATCCTATCCTTTGAAGCTAATCATTTGTTACAAAATGGGGTCCTAAAATAGTACATGAAACCGAATCAATGTTCATCCGTTTGAAGATGTCTGTGTGCTTTGATGAAAACCGGTGAATAAAATAGATAATGTGTGTCATGTGGTTGTTGAAAACTAAAGAATAAACATAGATATACATTAAAAGTAAAATAAGAAAGTTGAGAAAAAAATACAAAAATCAGGTGACAGATATATTAGGATAACGTGAAAAGTAGACCTCAATTGGAATGTGAAAACTCAAAAGAGTGCAAATAGGAAAGGAAAGACAATTGAATTTCACGTATCTTAAAAATCAATCAATATCTTTAGCAAGAAAAACCATATGAAACTTTTTTTCTTTGAGAATGTGCCTGGATGTCACATAGGGAAAATACACGAAATTGTACACACATATATGAGAGATTTTAATTTCCTCCATCCGCATGAAATTCAGTGGATTCTAGGATAGCTATTTCATTTTGCTATCAGCACAAGAAAGTATTTTTTATTGGAAACCCTATCCTTCGAAGTTCAAAGCTAATGATTTATACCAAAATGGAGTCCTAAAACAGTACATGAAACCCAACCAAATATTCATCCGTTCGAAGATGTGGCGTGGTTTGATGAACAAATAGATATTGTGTGTCATGTGTTTGTTGAAAACTGATGAGTAAAAAATATATACATTAAAAATGAAATAAGAAAGTTGAGAAAAAAATACAAAAATCAGGTGATAGATATATTAGGATAACGTGAAAAATAGACCTCAATTGGAATGTGTAAACTCAAAAGAGTGCAAATAGAAAAAGAAAGACAATTGAATTTCACGTATCTTAAAAATCAATCAATATCTTTAGGAAGAAAAACCATATGAAACCTTTTTTTCTTTGAAAATGTGTTTGGATGTCACATAGGGAAAATACACGAAACTGTACACACATATATGAGAGATTTTAATTTCCTCCATCCATATGAAATTCAGTGGATTCTAGGATAGCTATTTCTTTTTGCTATCAGCACAAGAAAGCATTTTTTTATTGGAAATCCTATCCTTCGAAGTTCAAAGCTAATGATTCATACCAAAATGGAGTCCTAAAATAGTACATGAAACCCAACCAGATATTTATCCGCTCAAAGATGTCACGTGGTTTGATGAACAAATAGATAGTGTGTGTCATGTGTTTGTTGAAAACTGATGAGTAAAAATATATATACATTAAAAATAAAGTCAGAAAGTCAAGAAAAAAAATATAGAAATCACTAGGAGGGCTTGAACCTCATAGCTTGTGGTTAAGAGCCACATGGTCTGGCCAACTAAGTTATTCTAGCTCTTTTGCCTAAAATATTTTCAAATCATTATGATATCTTCAAGATCAAAATGTCTTTTGATGAGAAAAAATAACATACACAAGTAACGTGACTGCAAAGAGTACGATGGTTGATGCTTTTTTGAAGGATTTTAGTACTAATACACCAAATGGTAAACTGATATGTTCTTTTTTTAGGACCAGGGATTGCAACCATACATCAGCACAAATTCTAGGGTTGGTGCTACTTGTATCTTATATGTTCTTAAAAACAAGGAAACTTGCATCTGCGTGTGATATAATACACCCCAATACAAAAATAAGACTGCCACTTTGTAAGAGGCTTCAACACTTCATGATATATGATACTTCCCATGTCATAAACTCATAAAGTCATAAATACACGATGCACATTTTAAAGAGCAATCGAAAGACTAAATAAACCTCTTCTCGGAGTTCTTCTCCTTTTGTAAAGGATAAGATCTATTATAAAAATTCATCGAAAGTGCAAAGCAACTCACATATACTAAAATTTATCGAGACTTCGAGACCACCGAACGACCACTACAACCTCAACAACATATTCGATACAGCCAGGAGGTAGCGAAAAACAGAAAAATCTTAGTCCGTGTTCGAATGGCAAGGACTCTGCAACATGGATACCAAAGATGGTGCCCTAAACCGGTTGCTCAAGTTGCTGATGTGATATCTCTATTTTGCAAAGGTGATTCTCAACTAGACTAAACGCAGATTATGTCCATACTCACAAAGGGAGAAAAACTAACTGATCGATGGCATGTAATAATCAAGCTTCTTTCCATGCTTTACTCTTAGTTGGATCTCAATCTTAATGGGTTCCTCAGACACAATTGCACATTGTCCGGTCGAGTGCAAAAAAGGATCTTGCAACTGTCATCATTATAGTTGCCACTAACAAATCGGTAGTGTTGTCATCAAAGCAATTTTTTTCGTAAAGGAATACCCGCGTTAACTAATTTGGCAGAAAGGGCCACCTTGCAAATCGTTGACAAAACTACTACTCCCGTGGCACCAGCGCTAGGTGACTCATGGCACTTGCCACCATAGGGGATGGTGATAGGTATTGTTCATGCACTATTTATCCATGGGACGATTTTCACGAGCTGAAATGAAAACGGGGATGGTAAACAATACATGCCGCTGCGCCCTACGGCAGCATGTAATATTGTTCATGTGGTTGAATAGTAATTAAAAAGAAGTTAGTAGAAAAATTCAAAAACTGAATGTTTTGGCAGCAAAGATGATCGAGGGTTATAAGTGTGTGTCCAACCAGGACATGCACTTTCTGTGGCGGCAGCTCCTTGTGATGACCTCGCAGATCTTTTCCATAACGAATTCCATCTCAAGTGATTGCAAATTGATGTCGTGAAGGTATTGATTTTTTAAACGTTGATGTTTGCCCACGAGATTGGAGATGTGGTAAAAAAACAAAAGCTTTCAGCATCCCAACCCTATGCTTCGCCGATGGATACAACCGAGCAATTTATTACTAAGTTTATACAAACTAAGAAACACTGTGATACCATAAAAGTGTGACGGGCGGCACAAAAAATACTAAGAACTAAAGAAGCCTAGTAGTAGCACACAATCCAATATGGAACATCAATTCATTGGTAATCCACTCTTGGAGCCAAGCTCCATATGATCATTTGTGTCTATGAACGTGAGACATGAATTATCCTAAACTCAAACAGACTTGGCGTAACT